TGTCAGTTTAGAAGAAGAACTCGTCGAGTCTTAGCCTAACTCGACGAGTAGAATCAGGGACTCAGGACAATCGTCTGGATAGGAACTCGGCGAGTTGGTGAGCTAACTCGGCGAGTCGGGTCAACTGAAAGTTGACTCTGACTTTGACTTAGGGCTAGACCAGGGGTAAAATGGTTATTTTACCCAAAGGACAGTTAGCAGTGTGTGATTGAGTATGTTGTGGGAATTGCAGTCGGAGGAGTTCCGGGGCAGCAGCAGTGGTCAGTCAGTTCCCGATCAGTTCAGCAGCTACTTTGAGGTGAGTTACCTTCCAGTAGCGGTGGGTCTAAGGCCACAATGCCGGCCCACCAGCAGGAGATGTGTGATTAGATGATTGTCTTTGTGATATTCATCTAGGGTTGCTAGACTATGTGATATATGTGTTGTGTGGTAGTAGTAGGGGTGAAATAGTCCCCAGTATCTGGTCGAAAGGACCGAAGGGGAGGCCAACACCCAGATATGCTAGGCAGTATCCGGTCGAAAGGACCGAAGGGGAGGCCAGCACCCAGATATGCTAGGCAGTATCCGGCCGAAAGGACCGAAGGGGAGGCCAGCACCCAGATATGCTAGGCAGTATCCGGTCGAGAGGACCGAAGGGGTAGGTCGGGCACCCAGATATGCCTGACAAATTTATGTATGTTATGTGATATGTGGTATGTGGTACAGTGGGGGAACTCACTAAGCTTTGTGCTTACGTTTTACAGTTTTGTGTTCAGGTACCTCTTCACCGAAGGGGAAGGAGCTGGCGCGGTAGCGGCACATCATGCACACACTCTGGTTTCCGCATTTACGAGATTCACTGGGATTTGTACTCTGATATTTTGATGGGTTGTATGGTTTGGCTTTTAAACATGATTTGCGTTGTGTTGTGGTTTGATCAAACAATGTTTTAATTATTAATGTGTTCTAAAGTAATGTTTTAAAACGAAATTTTCGGACGTGAAAATTTGGGTCGTTACAATAGATATCTGCCCAAAACCATAAAGATAAATTTACTCCCACTTAACTTGTGATACACATAATCATTTACTGTATTTACCTCAAAACCAAAAGAGATTAAAAAAAAATTGATGAAAAATGTGGTACCACACATAGGATATCCAAAGTTGAGGTTGTTGATAGTTTCAGTTTTATTACTTCTTTTCATAGTTTATTTTTAGTTAAAACCATCTCATTTTAGTTAATCTTAATGCATGTTTTCTCTTTTTGTTATTTTTCTCCTTTACCGAGTGCTTTCCAGTCTTTTGAGCTTATTTGCAAGATTTATCGAAGACTATTTGTTAGTGGAGGCGTGGAAGGAGTGTTGGACTTATGGAGGCTTGCAATTTTCTTGTGGACTTGAAGTGGTCCAATTGAGCTTAGTGTCAGCATAAACAAGAAATCAAATTGGACTTAATTTTTGAGCGAGAATGATTATGAGGCGATGCAGACTCGAGCTATGGAAGATTGAAGGAGCATTGGATCAATCATTGGAGGCTTTAGAATGACACAAATGGGCTCTGAAGAGTTTTTCATGTGGGCTAAAGTATGAATGAGAAGATTGGGCGAGATTGTATTTTAAATGTCCCAAGTCCCAAAATCAGCGAGACCCACGCGGTCCACGTGGACCCATACACGATCCGCATGAATTGTGTTGAATGGATCCCGAGTTTTGACTTGTTGACTCTATTTGTGGAAAGTTGGTGGGTAGCTTTTGTGAAACTTTTGGAATCCGGGAATGAGCCTTATTTGTTGTAGTTTTGGGGCATTTTTTGAGGCACCTCTTGAAGAAAAACCTCTCATTTTTTGCTCTCAATAACATTGGAGAAGAAGTTGAAGAATTGAAGATTGGTCTTATTTTCTTTCCATCTTGTACTTAGAACAATGTTTGGTACCACTAAACTTTCTTGTATTTCCTTTATTTTGGCCATGCTTGGCTAGATTTTCACTTGGTTGATTAGGGTTTAATCTCATGGATGATTGGTTGTTTTGAAGACTATTATTACCTTGTATTTGAAGTTTATGGAAATGTTTTCTAGTTAAACTTCTTGTTATGTTTATTTATCTTTGATCATGAGCTTGGATGAGTGAACATATATTTTTGTTGATCAATTTCTTGGTTAAGTAATGGAATTTGAGGTTGGTAAGCAACAAATGGTTTATATGTTTGTTTTCATTTCATTTAAACCATGGGAATGTTTCCTCCATAATGATAATGTAAGCATTTGATTATCTTATGGATATGGTGACTCTTAGAACTCAAAGCTAATTGATTTTAACAAGATTATATGCTTCATTGATTTTGTGACTTTAATTAAGGGAATGTGTTAGAGCTTCTCTAACCATTTTAATATCTAAGAAAAGTTGAGGTAATTTGTGCTTATGAATTGCTATAGCCAACTTAAACCAATTCACAAGTGTTATTCCATTTAGTCTAATGATAAGTCAACCATATCATCCATGTGGAGTATCCCAAAATCAACCAATTTCACTTCATTGAATTTAATCAAATCTTTTACTTGTTTACTTGTCATATTTACATTCTAGTTAGTTTTAATTTTGTCAAACAATCAAAAAGAATTAAAGCCACTGTTTTACTTTTGCTTTTATTTTACAAATACTTGAACGAGTGATTTACATAGAGATTTAAATTGAGTCACTCTCCGTAGGTACGATCCCTTTAACATTGTACATTATTTTAATGTGTAATATTTAGGGTATTTATTTTGTTGGCCTCGACAACCACCAAATTTTGGCGCCTTTGCTGGGGATTGGTTTATTTTTAATCAATTTGTTTCTCTATGCCCAGATCTCAGCGTACAGGTGACTTGATTTACAACCCGGAAATTGAAAAAGAAGCAAGGCGTTTGGCGAAGGAAAAGCGAATCGAACGTGGTCGAACTTCTAATCCTCATAGGGATCCGGAGGTTGAACCCGCTTCATCAAGTGATACGGAACTCGATTCTAGTCTCGACCCTCGCCAAGAAATTCCCGAAACACCACCCCTACAACAAAACCCACCCATTATTGAACTAATTGCAATGGCGGACGGAGGAGAAGTTCCCAAAAGAACTTTGAGGCAAATGATGGAAACCGATGTCACACAAACTCCAACCGGTATCATTTACCCGGTTTTGGAATGAGGCTCGAAGTTGAAGTCAAGTTTAGTCCATCACCTACCAACTTTTCATGGATTGGAGAATGAAGACCCTCATAAGCATTTGAAGATGTTCCACATTATTTGCACTAGTATGAAGCCACAAGGTTCAACCGATGACCAAATCAAGCTAAAGGCATTTCCCTTTTCATTGGCCGATAGAGCAAAGGACTGGTTATTCTATCTTCCCCCGGGGTCAATCAACTCATGGACCGATATGGCAAGAGCTTTTCTTGAAAAGTTCTATCCCGCTTCAAGAGTCTTAAGTCTTAGAAATGATATTTGTGGAAACCGCTAAGGTCAAAATGAGACTTTTCATGATTATTGGGAAAGGTTCAACAACTTGTGCTATAGTTGCCCCACAACACCAAATCCCGGAGCAACTCCTCATTCAACCCTTCTATGAGGGATTGCTACCAATTGAGAGAAGACTAGTTGATGCTTCAAGTGGTGGTGATGTCGTTGGTAAAACTCCACAACAAACAAGACAACTCTTCAACACCATAGCCGCGAATTCTAAACATTTTGGCCCGCGCCAAGATATGAAAAGAGAAACACAACACAAAGTCAATGAAGTGGGATCATCAAACCTCAAGTCTCAAATCAAAGATCTAACCTCCATTGTCCAAAAGCTAGCCATTGGACAAACTCCACAAGTGATGGTTTGTGGAATATGTGCAACAATGGGACATCCTACGGATATGTGTCCCATTCTTCAAGAAGATGCGGAACATGTAAATGTCACGGGGAGAATTCCAAAACTACCACAACAAGCCATCTGGTTATCAAAATGAATATAATTCGAGTTGGAAGCCAAATCCCAACATGAGCTACAACCCAAAACCATTGCCTCAAAATGCATTGGTTAGGCCATCCTATCCACCACCACAACCTCATTACCAACACCCACAACCACATTATCAACCCAAACTGCACCCTCCACATCATCATTAACATCCTCCTCAATCCCAACCAAGTAGCTCTGGAATGTCTCTCGAAGTTATTGTCAAATCCCTAGCCACTAGTACCCAACAATTCCAAAAAGAGAAAAGGACTAGTATCTCCAACCTTGAAGCACAAATGGTAAATATAGTTACATCCATAAGTAAGTTGGATTCCCGTGGTAAACTCCTTTCTCAAACCGAGAAGAACCCAAATGTCAATGTGGTGACCTTGAGAAGTGGCAAACAAGCCGGAGAAAGTAGTTTGAAGAAGAAGCCAAGGGATGAAGCGGAAGAAATAGAAGTCATTCCCATTGAAAAACCTATAGTCAAGAACGATGCACAAGCCGGAGTTCCAAAGAAGACTACCCCTCTAGTAACTCCAATAGCCACTCAACCGCCACTTTTCGGCCGTTTTCCGGCCAACTCCGGCCACCTCTCGCGATTCTGACACCACCATTGTGCTCCTCTTGGACAAGGCTACAAACCCCACCAAAAATATCTCTCAAAGCTCGCCGAAAAATTTCGCCGGAATTTCAAGCCACTGCCGGATTCCTCGGGTTTTCGCAGTAAATTGCTTCTCATGGGATATTAAACAAAGCTTTAAGCTTGGGGTGGAGAGTTGCAAGATTTTCAAATCCCGAATTTTCGTGCGCAAAATTTTCAAATTTAAAAAAAAACGAGTACATTCTTTCCTTGACATATATGCATGTTTTAGAACAAGAATTTGTATGGTATTGCATCTGTTGAGTTTAGGAAACATTTCTTGCATTAATTTTTGAATTGTTTTAGAAGTCTATACGGAGTCGATTGGTAAATTGACTTAAAAACATCATTTGTTGAGATTGGATTCGTGTAGTTGTTGTTCTTCTTGCAGGTAGACCATGTCCACATCTAGAAAATGCCCGGCTGCCGCCCGAGATAAGGCCCCCGCTGCAACTCGAAGTGCGGACCCAACCATCCCTAGGTTTCGGGATGCAAAGGCAATTGAAAATTACGACCAAAGTTTGTCTCAAAAGGTGGCATCCACCAAATTTGTGTGCAAATCCACACTTATCTCATTAGGGGTTCTTGAAGGGGTCACCCAATTGTTCCGTAACATCGTGTGTGAGAAACTTCTCAATCTCATGGCACACACTTACGAGCTCCCCACTAGAGAGTTTATTGTCGATTGTGGGTTAGATAACGAAAAGAAAAACTCCATATTCCAACTTCTAGGGGACCGAAGGTATATTGATTTTGCAGCAATAAACGACATCTTGTGCTTGCCTTCTTCGAACACATCCACGGTTTTCGATGTCTTACCTGCCGAGTTCAACTATGAGACCTTTTGGACGGAAATCATCGGGGGTATCTTTTCATGCGCTGGTTGGGATAAAGCAACCTCTATCATTCACCTGTGTCTCTGTATTGCCCATCGCATCTTGGTGTGCACTGTCTTTGCCTGTAAAGAAGCCATCCATGTCACCAAAAATGAGCTTATTTTCCTTTGGTGCATGACACGTCGTGAAAACCCACCAATCCCGGACTTTGCTTCATTCTTTTTCTATAAATGTGCACTTATGTGAACCAAAGCGTCTAGTGATATTTGCATTAGTGGATTTGTCACCATTTTAGCCCACGGTCTTGACATAGAGCTCCCAAACGAATACCAACCTGTTGATAATAAAACTCTTTTGGATGAGCGTGCTCTCACAAACATGCACCACATCCATCGCCAGAGCAGGAACAGTTTCACATGGTATTGTCCTCAAGGGGTTGGATATCTTTTTCTCCCCGACCCTCGAGTCTCCAACTTCATCCCCCACGATCACACTCAGTGGAGACTCGCGAGGACCATCACGTAGTCAGTCAATGAGGATGCGTTCCAGGCTCAAGATTATGTCGAGATGCATGCAGATGAGGAGTCCGGTAATGAGCCCACCCATGGTCCACAGCAAGCCCAGCCCCAAGTACCTCCCGGATACTACCCGCTTCCCCCTAATTTTGCCGAACGGTTCGAGACTCTTTGTGTCTCTAAGCAAATCATGTCCCAGCAGATGCATCATATGTGGGGGTGACACCAATCACAAAACTATTTTGAGAATGTCCAACTTCCTCCTCCCTATCCATACCCTCCACCCACCTACCCTTACCCCCCTCCACCATACCCTTACCCCTACCCTCTATACCCATACCCTCCTCCAGCTCCCCCGTTTTTGGTACTTTCGTCTCGCCCCAAGCATTGAGGACAATGCTTATTTCTAAGCTTGGGTGGGGTATTCCCTTTTCTTTTTGATTTCTCATGCATTTTAATTAGGTTGCATAACATTTTAGCCTTAAATTGCATTCATTTTTTTTTATAAAACTTCAAAAAGATTTTATTTTCTTCTTTTTCCCTTTTTATTCTTGCATAACATTTAACTTAGGGCATAACCATTCATGCATTTTTGTTATCTCTTTATTCTCATCTTCGAACATCTTTACTTGAAAGACACGACACACCTCAAATAAAATTCTTTTGGAAACTCACATAACAAATAAGAATCGCTCTTGGGGACTTTCAGTTGTTGCTTCTTCTCTTATATATATATATATATATATATAATATATATATATATATATATAATATATATATATATATATATATATATGTGGGGAGAGAGTGCAAGTAGTTATGCATATGAATCGACCCATGTCAAGTGTGGCATAAGTAGGGGGACAACTTAGCCTCGAGCCGACTAGTCCCTCACCTGAATTTTCTTCATGAGCCACAATCAAACCCCAAAGAAAGAAATAAAAACTAAATTTTGCTATTTTGAGATCTTTAGTGTCTAATTGCTACAATTTACATTATACCACACTACCTTATGATGTAGACACATTTTTCTCACTTGATCTCGAATTAGCCTTAGTATAGTTGTGCTCGTTTGGCCTCTTGTTTGGGTTAGACTTAGATTCTACTTATAGTTGTATATAGTTATGTTTTGTAATTTTTTTTTTATTTATTTTCGAGCTATACTTGTAAAACTCCTGTGGTAAACCAAAAAAGTGAGCTTAAAATAATAATAATAATAATAATAATAATAATAATAATAATAATAATAATAATAATAATAAGAAGAAGAAGAAGAAGAAGAAGAAGAAAATAATAAAACAAAAAAAGGGGGTCGGGAAACGGAGATGTATCAATTTGTTTGCTTTTGTAGATGTTTAGTCATTTTTCGGATTCTAGCTCATGTAATTAGTTTCTAGTTTGATGTTCTTCTAGTTAGATATCATTTTTGTTGGCAACTACGATGATGTCCTTTCTCATCACGTGCTCGATTCTTCACTTTATATGATCTTGTTTTAGTGTAAGCACTTATTCTTCTAGATGATGATGGTTTGCCAACCTTTGTACATAGCTCTTTCTTTGCCATTTTTGGCCCGAATTATCTTTTTGCTAGGTTTTATTTCTTGGCGTAGGGTTGAAGTTGTGAGGAGTGAGGAACATTCTAACCGAGGGACACTTTCTTATGGCTAGTGGGCTAGATCGGACCACGAAACAATGTCACATAAACCATACTAGTGAAGTACGCATGCTCGTTTTGCATCTTGATCAACGTGTATCCCATGCTAGAAAGGTAACAAAGGATCGTCCCTCAAAGTGATTCTTATCTCTAAAAATGGATCACATGTCTTTATCTCCAGGGCGTGTCGTGAATTTCAAGCTAAGATGTTCATTCTTTTTTCTTTCTAGGATAGTTCATCCCAAGTTCATTTTAGTATTGTCTTACTTGAGGACAAGTAAGGTTTAAGCTTGGGGTGATTTGATAGTTTCGTTTTTATTACTTCTTTTCATAGTTTATTTTTAGTTAAACCCATCTCATTTTAGTTAATCTTCATGCATATTTTCTCTTTTTGTTATTTTTCTCCTTTACCGGGTGCTTTCCAGTCTTTTGAGCTTATTTGCAGAATTTATCGAAGACTATTTGTTATTGGAGGTGTGGAAGGAGTGTGGGACTTATGGAGGCTTGCGGTATGTTTAATAGTGAAAACATAGATCCTCAAATTAGGGTTGCATGCATACATATGATTGTTTGTTTTGTATAAAACCCATCACGAAACACACGGACCGTTTCGGACACTCATGCAGACCATGTGAATGTCGTTAAGTAGATCATTGGACCCAACTAAGCGGTCTTCTCCCCTCCAACACTCTTGTCTATGATCCAGCCCAAATGCAAGTTCTTGATAGCTCATTTTTGTCTTCTAAGTTCCTCTCAACTAACCCACAACACCTTTTGATCATCCAAAGCTTCATTTTTTTTCGCATCATAATCCAAGATTAAGCTCGATTGCGCCACTCCAAGCCCACAACAAGATGCAAACCTCTAGCTTCAAGA